ATCAGGAGGTCCTGTAGTCCTTAGAGGGGGACACATGGTGATGCGGGAGACAGAAGAGTAGATGGCCTGGGGAGATTTTCTTTTCATGGGAGGGGGGCACCAGCAATGGAGCTCAGGACCTTGTGCTTGCCAGGCAGGTGCTTTGCTGCTGAGATATGTCCTGGGGACATTTTCAAGCTAGGACAGGTAGAACCTCAGCCTGCGTGCTCAGCGCAGAATTCACTAGAGAAAAACCGGGTTTGGAGAAGGGAGGGAGGATGGAGGCTTCAGGTTGGGTCATGTTCTATTTGGGATGCCTGTAGACACCCAAGCGCTGTGCTGTACGGTCATCTGTCTATTTGTGTCTGAAGCCTGAGGAGAGAACAAGGGGGGGCTTCCATGGGGACTAGGTATTTACAGGGCAGGGTGGCTGAAAGGGAACTGGAGCCCTTTGCGCTTTCCCAGGATCTTCTGGGACCAATGCAACAGCGAGCTGAGACTAAGGATTTTTAAAGTCAGACAGGGCAAACCCTTAAACATTTGGAGTTGTACCCTGGAGGCTTGTCATACTGACCCTGAAACAGAGTTTGTTTCAAGTGGTGGTAGGGAGTTATATGAGGCAGCAAAGTTTGGACTGGAAGATAGATCTCATTCTTGCATGTTTGTGTTCTTCAGTGAGTAGCATTTTAGCATCACCTAGCATCACCTGGTGGCAGGCACTGTTGGTTGGTGTTGCATAGCCATTGCCTTGTTAACCCTGTACCTGTCGGGGGGTGGGTGGTGCGTGATGAGGGGGGTGTGTATGCTCTGGAGGTTTGAGTAGCTGAGTCATCACAGCGTCCCTTACCTAGCAGATGTGGCCTCAAGTGTGAGCCTGTGTTCTTTTTTTTCTTTTTCTTTTTTTTTTTTTTGGTCTTTTTGAGACAGAGTCTCACTATGCAGTTCAGGCTGGCCTTGAGCTTACTTTCTAGCCCAGGCTGGTCTCGAATTTACAATGATTCTCCTGCATCAGCCTCCTGATTGTCCTGCATCAGCCTCCAGAGTGCTGGGATTATAGGCGTGTGCCACCATGCCAGGCGATGAGCCTGTGTTTGTCCCCCCGCCGCCCCCCACCGGGAATCGAACTCATGACCTTGCGCTTGCCAGGCAGGCGCTGTGCCGCTGAGCTAAATCCCCAGCCCTGAGCTTGTGTTCGTAACTGTCCATCTTCTGCCTTGCATGGGATCTGGTTGCCATGGTACTACCATCACTTGTGTGCATGCACACATTAGTGCGAATGTGGGACAAATAGATTTGGAAAAAAAATGCGTGCTTTGGATTTATAGCAGTAATAGTGTGGACACAGTGCCATCTGACACAGTGGAGGCCTCTTGCTGTGTGTGGCTCAGAGAGGGTTTTAGTGTTTGGAGTTGGAAGGCAGTCCTGAGATTTCTACCCTTGTTCTTTGAGTATTCAGCATGTTTCCCTTGTGTGTCTCCTCTGGGTACTGAGGTTTGTTGCTTACGTCATTGCCTAGTCTTTTGAGGAAGAGCTTTAGGGGATGTGGGTTTCCTGCTGCTGTTCAGCCCCTCCTGCTGTGTGGTAGATGCTGGTCTGGCATAGTCTAGTCTGGTCCTGGAAGCTACAAGATTACCCTATTCCTGGGGTGGAGCAGGGTCGGTTGCTTGCCCTTTCTGCAGAGCCTGCATTCACTTGCTACTCAGCTGGTCTGGCCAGTGTGCTGCTACTGTGAAACCAGTGGGTCCCTTTCTGATTGGGGGCTCCCTCCCTAGTCTTTAACAATACATAGACTACCATTTTCCCCCTAATATTTTGCATGAAGATTTCCAGAGGGAGTTGAAATTGCCTGTACCTACAACCACATTCCAGTGTGACTCCAGCAACACACACGAAGAGATCTTAATGTGAAGTTGCAATAATTATGTTTTTTCTCCCTAATTTGTAGTTGAAAAATTCTAGAAATCAATTTAAGAGAAGTACTTGTTTTGATATTCTAAATGCCAAATCGTAGTTTATTCTGAATTCTTAGCCTTTTTAGGTCTAGAGTTATAATATGTAAGAATCTTTTCTAGAAGACTATACCTTCCTTCCTAAATGTCATGTTAATCCATTGAATTGATACATAGTTGATACACTTTTTTTTTTGTCTTTTTGAGACAGGGTCTCTATGTGATTCAGGCTGACCTTGAGCTTACTTTGTAGCCCAGGCTGGTCTCAAACTTGCAGGTTTGCAAAGATCCTTCTACCTCACCCTCCTGAGTGCTGGGATTACAGGCATGCGCCACCATGCCCAGCTTGATATACTTTAAAAAATATCCTGATTTTCTTTATCCAAGGGCTTTCCTTTTTTTTTTTTTTTTTTGGTCTTTTTGAGACAGGGTCTCGATGTGCAGTTCAGGCTGGTCTTGAGCTCACTTTGTAGCCCAGGCTGGTCTCGAACTCACAACTATCCTCTTGCCTCAGCCTCCCCAGTGCTGGGATGACAGGCGTGCGCTGCCATGCCCGGCTATCCAGGGGCTTTCTTAAAAACCAGATTTGAGGTTTTCAGATGTTTCTTTGGTATTTTCTATTTTTCCCATTGTTTTCATAAGCGTTCTAAAATCTGGGTGGATCATATGTATGTGTGTTTGTAAGGTATGTGGTTTTTTTTTGTTTTTGTCTTTTTGAGACAGGGTCTCCCTATGCAGTTCAGGCTGGCCTTGAGCTCACTTTGTGGCCTAGGCTGGTCTCGAACTCCCCGAGTTCAGGCATGCGCCACCACGCCTGGCAAGGCCTGTGTTTTCTAGTTATTAAGTTGGAATACCTTATTTTAGGTGCATTCAGTCAAGTTTAAGTGTGCTCAAATCTATCTTTCTTTCTTTCTTTTTTTTTTTTTTGCAGCATCAGGGATCAAACTCAGGACCTTGCGCTTGCCAGGCAGGTGCTTATGCCACTGAGCTATATCCCCAGCCCAAGTGTGCTCACATCTTAAAATTTGTGGATTTTGTGCATGTGCATGCAGCAGTGCTATGATTGAACCCAGGGCATTTGGTCTGAGCTACAACCTCATCCCTTTTTACTTTTTGAACCAAGGTCTTCCTAAATTGCTAAATTCCCCGACTGGACTTAAATTTTGTGATCCTCCTGCCTTAACCTCCCAGAGTGCTGTGATTTGAGGCTGCACCACCATGCCCAGCTGACATTGGGATAGTTTTTTTTGCGAGGCGGGGCGGCGGGGTAGGGGTGGGTTGGGTGGGTGGTGTGGTGGGGGGGGGGGGTGGGTTGGGTGGGTGGTTGGGTAGGTACTGGGAATTGAACTTAAGACCTTGCACTTGTCAGGCAGGTCCTGTGCCATTGAGCTGTATTCTGGCCCTGAGATAGTTTTAAAGGGTGATGGCAAAGTTTCATTCTGCATGTTTGAGGTTTTCAAGACCTCATGTTCTTAGGGTGCTTTCCTTCCCTCTCTGTAGTTGAGTGAGAGGACCTTCTCTTATTCTCCTTCCTTAGAGTTACAGCCCTTGGAGGAGCTGTAGCTCCTCTGGGGATTTTAGTTGCAGCTCCTCATTTCGTTCCTGTGCCTGAGAAGCAAGTCACAGCCTGCAAATCCAGAGTCTTGCCCATTAGTTGAACAAGCAGATGTGTACACACATGCTGAATCCTGATTTTTATATGTATAAAAATACGTATGTAGGGGCTGGGGATTTAGCTCAGCAGCACAGCGCCTGCCTGGCAAGCGCAAGGTCGTGAGTTCAATTCCTGGTACCAGAAAAAGAAAAAAACCAAAAAGAAAAAAAGTATATGTATATACACAGACACGTATATGATAAAACCATGTTTTTGTTGTTGGCTGTGGGAGTTGAATGCCAGACACGCTGTACCACTAAGCCATACCCTTAGCCCCTATGCCTCTTGTTTTGAGAAATGAAGTAGCTCATACATAGTTAGGGCTTTGTTTAACCTTGACATTGTTCACCTTCAGCAACTTGGCTTTAGGAAGGTTATTTGCATGTGTGCTGTTTGCTCACAGTCAGAATATTTCTTTTGAACTCTTCAAAACTATGGTTTCTGTGGGGGTTACTGAAAGTCCTGCTTCAGTTTTGGGCAGAGAAGCTCAAGAGAAGGTCTCGCTTCATCAGGTGACAGTGTCTTTCAGCCCAGACCTGTGTTTTCCCCAACATAACCCTCCCCCTTATTTAAAGGGCAGGTACTCTGTTCTTGAGGTGCATCCTCAGCGATGTGTGCTTTGGTTTAACAAAGTGGTTTAGGCAGTCTGCTTTAAAGAAGCAAAGCTGGTTAGGGAACGTCCTGTTTTGAAGAGGCATGCTGCAACCCTGTGTGAGCCCTGAGCTCCACTGCTGCACAGGTGGCAGGAGCAGAGTGACTTCCCTCTGCTGTTGGGTGAAGGAGCAGGTGAAGCAAGACTCTGCTGCTACTTTCCCCTACCCCAAAGACTTCCTGTGCAGTGATTCTGTCAGTCAGCGTTGGCCTCGGCAGTGGTGTGGTGTGGGAGATGGGATGCCCCGCCAATAACCGTAGTCCAGGGTGTCTCCTTTTTCTCTGTGGGAGCTTGTGGGAGGGGTTTCACGACCCTCTGATAGAGTGAGTGAAGTATTTGGGAGGTGTTTCTTAGGTGTAGGGACTGTGTTTTTGTCCTTGGAGCTCCATGGCACAGGAGCATGTAAAGGGAGGAGGTAACTGAAGCTTCTAGATACGGTTGTGTCTAGGATACACGCAGCAAACCTCTTAGCTCTCGTCAAATGGCTGCCTGGACGCTGCCTGCCTCAGTATTCAGTTACCTGCTTGGTTATTTGGTTTAGGCTACTGTTAGGCTATTCCAGAGCATTTTCCCATGTCGGTGAGGTCTCTGGGCATGAGTCTTAGAACCAGGACTCAGAGACCAGGCTCTGCCTGACAGGTTAGTAGCAGGCTATGGAAATTCCCTCTCTGGTCAGTAGCTGAACCCTTCCCTCCTACCCAGCTCTCACCCTGTGACAAACCCAGCCTTGGCAGCCTTGTCATTGACCACACATTTTTATTTGCAGGACTTGTTCCAGCACACTGTTAAAACATGGTGGATTACTATGAAGTTCTAGGCGTGCAGAGACATGCCTCCCCCGAGGACATCAAGAAGGCGTAAGTATTGTATGGCTGCAGTTGCACACTGGTGACTGGGTGGCACACCTGTTTTTTCTGTTACATATTAGAGCCCCCTTGCTGCTTATTTTGCAGAGTAAGGGTGGAGCCGAGTGCCTCACTTGCGGGCAAGTGCTGTACCACTAGCTGCAGAGCAGTCTATAGATTGTATCTGATGTGGTGGTGTACTGTCAGTGCCATGTGGTTTTATTAATTTTTAACTTTAGACAGCAATGGATGTGTGCCACATCTGGGCCTGGCCTAGCCCTTATCTTGCCAGTAGGGCAGCAGGATCACCTGATTCCTTTTGCTGTGCCTTGGTCCTGGAACTCTTTATTTGCTTGAGGCACATTAAAAACTCATGGAGAATTATTTTTTTTCTTCCTGCCTCAGCCTCCTGAGTGCTGGGATTGCAGGCATGCCCCATCATGACGGGCAGAATTTGGGAGGCTGAGGTAGGATTATTGCGAGCTGGAGGCCAGTCTGAGTTACTTAGGCTCTGTCTCAACAAACAAAAAATGTTGAGCCGGGCATGGTGGCACATGCCTGTAATCCCAGCACTCAAGGGGCTGAGGCAGGAGGATTGGTGCAAGTTCCAGACCAGCCTGGGTTACAAAGTGAGCTCAAGGCCAGTCTGAACTGCATAGTAAGACCTTGTTCAAAAGACCAAAAAAAAAAAAAAAAAAAGAAAAGAAAAGAAAAGGTGAGCGAGGTGGTGCAGACCTGTAATCGCAGCACTCAATAACCTGAGGCTCGAAGAACACTGAGTTTGAGGCCAGCCTGGGCTACATAGAGAGTTCAGGTCCAGCCTGAACTACAAAGGGAGGCCATGTCTCCGAAACAAAATAACAAAAAAAAAAAACAACAACAAAAATTCATGGAGAGTGTTGAGTAATTCTAAAGTACCCTTTCCATTGGACTTGGAGGTTAAGGGTCAGAGGAGAGTGCCCCAACTTCCTTGGGATGGCTGGACCCAAACCTATGTGTTAGATTGTGCTGGTCCACCCTAACATTTGAGAACTGCTGTGCTGCCTGTTGGTATCTGTGTGGAACTGTCACAGGTGGCTCCAAAGGTTCTCTGGATGGATGCAGCTCATTCAGGCCTTAATGTGAACAAAATTTTATAGAGCGAGTGGTAAGCTCAGGGTTATTGAAACCACTCTTTAATTGTGAAATAGGACTGAGGATATAGCTCAGTGGCATAAGTGCCTGCCTGTCAAGCCCAAGGTTGTGAGTTCAATCCCCTGTACCGCCCCCTCCCCCCCCAAATTGTGAAATAATGAAATCTGTACCTCTACATAAAACGGTGTTTATTTTGTGTTTTTGAGACAGGATCTCCGCCGTACAGTTCAGGCTGGCCTTGAACTCACTTTGTAGCCTAGGCTGGTCTCACAATGATCCTCCCGAGTGCTGGGATTACAGGCATGGGCCACCACGCCCCAGTACTGTTCTGTTTTACGGAAGGGGTTAGTAGCTGGGGATTATAGGTGTATATCACTATGAAGACTGGAAGTTTGTTGAGTTAGGGCTCGAAATGTAGCTCAGTGATAGAGCATGTTTAGCATGCCCAGGACCCTGTGTTCAATCCCTAGCACCACCTTTTTTTTTTTTTTTTTTTTAAATAACAAGAAAAGATGGGCTAATGCCTGTGTTGGGTAGAGTAAAGTTGCCTGCAGAGTATTCTTGTTTCAGACCTCAGCTAAGGGATTGTAAACACAGCACCCCCTGGGGAGACCAGTCAGGTGTGTGGTTTTCTCATCCTGTGTGTTACTTGTGGCGCTTGATTTAGGTCTGCACTGTTCTCTAACTGGTCAGTTAATAGCCAGCAGTACTTTTAGTAGATTGTGGACCAAAGAGACAATTCTGAGTCTTATTGTTGAATAAGCACAGAATGTACAGAGTCTTTGTTTTCACTGATAGAATTGTGTGCTTTTGGTTGTGCTAGAGATAGAGAGTAGGTTACTTTTCCGTAAGGTTGGTATCTCCAGGATGACTTGGAAGTGTGAATTTAGAAAAGGCCATTACCTTTAAAAGCAGTAAGATTTTCTCACTTGGTAAATACTGACCTTGTGGCTGAGCATGATAGCCGTGGAGTGGTGTCCATTATAAGAACTGCTGCCTTGTGGGCTCCTGGCTTTGTTGTGTGTGCCGGCCATGTGAGGACTCAGGGTGTGTTGCCACCACCTCACTCTCGGTCTCCTAAGGCACCCAGTTTCCACTCCAGTTTGAATCACAGGCCAAGGATCAGTGAAGTGCTGGTGTATAGGTTAGGCAGGTGTGGAGGCCAGCTTTGGAAATAGTATGCTACTGCTTACCCTTCTCTCTAAAGCTTTAGATTACATCTTAGTTTTGTTTTGTTTTTTTCCTATGGCGTGGGAGATTAGATCCTCTACCTTATACCTGATAGATAAGCACTGTCTATGACCAAGCTATGCTCCTGGCTCCTTCACCTTCAGTTAACAAAACTTCAATGGTGTATGACCCAGGACAGAGAGAATTGAATCTCGGAGTGGATTCTCCTAGGTTATTTAGTTTTCACATGAACACTGGATGGCTGGTGAGGTTCCTATTCTTGTTTTAGATTTTGAGGGATACATTCCTCCTTTTTCTTAATGCTACATGCCTTCTGTTTATTTTTCCATAATAGGGATGGAACCCAACTTTTTTACTGGGCCATGTCGCCAACCCTTTGTATTTTTTATTTTCAGTCAGGGTATTACTGAGTCACGCAGGCTGGCCTTCAGTGTCCAGGACTCAGGCTGTCCTGTTCGTTAGCTGAGATTATAGGAATGTTCCAGGCCCAGTACACTGTCTTTTAAATGTGTGCTGCTTATGCTTTGCTGATAAGCTAAAGGCTTCTCCCCTCCTCCTTTGGTGCGAGGACCCAGCCCAGGCCCTCACATGCTGGCAGATGCTCTATTGCTGAGCTACGCTCCCTGTCCTCAAAACCAGTGTTGCTAAACTCCCATTTCCACACTGACTGCAGAACAGGTGGCCGGTGGTGGGATCCTGGCAACCTGGTCTGTGTTGTGGCAGATGACTCACCTTTGTTGCAGTGATCTGCCAGGCTGGCTGAGGAAATAGGGGCAATATAAAAAGATAAGGGCGATATGCTGGATTTTTTACTGCCCACTGACCAAGGCCTCTTCTACACGGACCACTCCCCCAGATACATTTTTTGTGTGGTTTGCCAGTAATCATGGGCCTATGTTGTGGATGTTTGGAACTGCAAACATACTTAGGTTTTTGGAAGTCAGCTCGTCGTATTAGTGTCTGGAAGTACAGAACTCTTCTCAGGCAAAGGGGAACTTTCTAGCTAAAATTAGGATTAATTTCACCAGATGGCACCTCTGAAATCATTTTGTTGCTTAGCTGCATTAGTTTTAAACATAATTGACTTCTGGGTTTTGGACATGAATGATACTCTTTACTCTTTCAAGGTACCGGAAACTGGCACTACAGTGGCACCCAGATAAAAATCCTGAGAATAAAGAGGAAGCAGAGCGAAAATTCAAACAAGTGGCTGAGGCGTATGAGGTGTTATCAGACGGTAAGTGGCACAAGCTGGGCTTGCACAGGGCTGAGTGGATTAGTTGGTGTGCAGGGGTGAGCAGAGTGTGGGCACACGGGACTCACCATGTTCCAGCTGGCTTCGAGGGCCATGGAGAATGTGTTCCTTCTTGCATGGAGATTGGAGCTGGAGTATTACCAGTGAGTGCTGAGGAGCAAGCTTCCACCAGGTTCTCGGAGTACTATACAGCACTTAGCATCCTGGGTCTGAGTAGCTGAGGGTTAGGGTTGGGCTGAGATGCTAGACTGTCACTGCAGTGGGTGGCTGCCCCTGTTGCTAGTGCTTTAGTGAGCTTTCCTAATTGAAAGGACGACTTTGAGAGAGAAGGGAATTGAACATACTGCTCAAATTTAGACTTTAGAACATGCTGTGAATAGTGATTCATGGTGCAGAGAAGATTACAAGGGCCGGGTGGGAACAGTGCCACAGGCTGGAAAATTACTGCCTCTACCCTGGGGCTGCAGTAGTTAGTGGCTGGCATGAGTCAGGGCAAAGGCACTAGGAAGGTCGGGCACTGATTCTCTGACCACAGGAAGTCTGTCTACATGTGGTCAGGTAGTAGGTTATCATTTTTTTCAAAAGTGATGTTAGGAGGAGTTCATTGAACTGTCACTTGGCCTCAACAGTGACTAGCATATGGTACCCTGTGCTACTAATTGTGATGACCCCACATACCTCTGTCCCTGGTGTTCTAAAGGGAATCATGATTGCGTTTACAGTCTAAAAACAGCTGGTAGGACTTTGAGGGGAATGATGTTGGAGATTTCAGGTATCCTACCTGGTATATAGTGGACTCATTCTGCATTCCCAGTCTGAGGGATTTCAAGGACCTTGGACCTGAGAAAGATAAGGACTGCGTGGACACTGTTTTTTTTAGTTCATGGTAGCAGTGCATATATACATAACATGTGTTGGTTTTTTAACTTATTTCCCTGTTTTTCCCCTTCCCTAGACTGATACTTTATATCTGCCAGAAAGAGAACTTTTACATGACCACAAAAGATCTGGTCTGAGGCTGGACGTGGTAGCGCTCACCTGTAATCCCAGTACTCAGGAGGCTGAGGCAGGAGGATTGTTGTGAGTTCGAGACCAGCCTGGGCTACAAAGTGAGCTCAAGGCCAGCCTGAACTGCATGGCGCAACCCTGTCTCAAAAAGACACCCCCTCCACCCCCCCAAAAAAAGGTCTGGTCTGATTTTTTTGGAGGGAGAATATATTTTTCACATAACCTTAGGCAGCCTCTAGCCAGTTGGAGTTATCTTTCAATGTAGGGTTGTTGTTACCAGGGCTCTGGTTACCTGAAACTGGCTGGTTTTAAGCCTGAGGACAGCAGCAGGGCACTTGAGTCTTGTGTTCAGCTATTCCGCAGGGCCACTGGCCTGCAGGCCTGGGCTATCTCTTTTTTGGTGTCCACACAACTCAGGACTGTGGAAGGTTCGCTTTGATGGTGTGATGGCTTTATATTTGGATATGTAATTTTTTAGTGTGTAAAGCATTCTGGACAGTGGAATAAAAGAAATGGTCTAATGGAATAAATATTTTAATATTTATAATTCTTAAAGACTGATAGGATTTTTAAAAAGTTTTCTGAATCACCTTTTAGGAGACAGATACATAAGGTTTCCCTTCTGTTCATCTTTCTTTTAGGAAGTAAGGGCAGCCTAGCTCTTAAAATTTCTGAGAAGCTGAACTCTGATTTACATCTTATCAGTTGAATTTTGAGGATTTGAAAAGAACATAGCTCTAATGAGTTTTTTTTTTTTTTTTTCCAAATTTAAAGCTAAAAAACGGGACATCTATGACAAATATGGCAAAGAAGGATTAAATGGTGGAGGAGGAGGTATGTGAATGAATTTTCTGTTTGAAGACACAAGATCTTGACAAATTCCTCTGAATTTGAGTTGTTTCCCAATTGTGAATTACTGAATCTCAGTTAAGCTACATGATAATAAATATAGGTGCAAACTAAAAAGTAGGCTGAATTGGTTGGTGGGTGGAGAAATTGACATTTTCAAAAAGTTATTAAAAAGCTGGGCTTAGCTGGACATGGTGGCGTACACCTGTAATCGCAGCACTTGGGAGGTTGATGCAGGAGGATTGTTGTGAGTTCGAGACCAGCCTGGGCTACAAAGTGAGCTCAAGGCCAACCTGAACTGCATAGCGAGACTCTGTCTCAAAAAAAAGACCAAAAAAAAACAAAAAAAAACTGGGTTTGGTGTGGTACACAGCTGAAACCTCAGTACTTAGAAGGACTATAAGTTTTAGCCCAGCCTGGGCAATTTACTGAGACCCTGTCTCAAAATAAGAAATTTATAAAAGGATGGGGATGTAGTTTACTATGAATGCCCTAGGGTTATCAAAAGTAGTCTCAAAAGAAAATGAAACAACAAAAATAATACAGGCCACCCAAAAAACAACCAAAAATCACAGAGCTATTAAAAACCTTTTGTTAAGCTTGGATGGTGGTATGTTCCTGTAATGCCAGCATGAACTACTTACTTAGTTTCTCTTTTTTTTTTTTTTTCCCAAAGACAGGATCTCACTATGTAGTTTAGGCTGGCCTCAAACTCATGGCTATCCTCCTGCCTCAGCCCCCTGAGTGCTGGGAGCTACTTAATTAGACCCTGTCTCAAAAATACACCAAAACAAAACCAGAATCTTTTGTTCGAGTAGGAGGTATTTTTCTTTTTTTCCCCTCCTGCCTCTGATTAGAAGGTATTTACTGATGTACTTACTGTAGATGTGACACAGTATCTACCCTCATTGTAGTGTTGTACTGTGAGCTTTCACCCCTAGATCACTAACCTGCGTTTAATTAAAACATCCTTTGGGTTTAAAGGGCAGACAAAATGTGTATGTCTCAGAAAATCCCTGTAGTGACCTGCTGTTGTGTGTGTACTTTTAGTGTGGGTTTCTCAGAGTGTCCTCTGAACCCATGCGGTCATCTTGTAGCTGTATGGACGTTGTGTAATTTATACTCTGGGTTTTTATATGCCTTCACAACAAGCATTGCAAATGCATGTAGCTAGGTGTGGTGGTGCACACTTGTAATGCTAGCACTCAGGAGGCTGAGGCAGGAGGCTTCCTGGGAGTTCAAGGCCAGCCAGGGGTACAAGGTGAGTTTAAGGCCAGCCTGAACTGCATAGTGCAGCCCCATCTCAACAAGACTAAAAAAGGGTAAGAAAGTGGGTATAATCTGTGTTGAGAAGTAGCAGTGAAGGGAACCCAGCTGGGACCTTCTCTGCTGAGGGCTGAGCCCTGACACACAGATAGCTTTGGTCAGGGTAGCGTTCATTTTGAGTCACAGAACCGCAGATGTATGTTCTCTTTTTAGGTCATTTTTTGCTTCAAAGTTTAGAATTCATAAACTAACCCCTGTCTCTCTTGTCTGTGTAGGTGGACGTCACTTTGACAGTCCATTTGAGTATGGGTTCACATTCCGGAACCCGGAGGATGTCTTCAGGGAATTTTTTGGTGGAAGGGACCCATTTTCATTCGACTTCTTTGGTAAGTAGATCCCTCGGTGTGTGTGTGTGTGTGTCTTGGGTCCCGTGGCTGGTGAGGACCAGTGGTGTGTTTCCTGTGTTGTTACGTTGTGTTTTGTAATTAATCTTTGATTTTAAGCAGCACAGAAGTGGTCGGACCTTTCCTGCCTTCCTTTTGGAAGACTACTGAATGTGTAGGGAGCACGTTAGGAAAATGCAGGCTTTGATGTATTCTCTCTTGACTATGTGTGGTCCTGTTGCCCCGCCTGTGCTCTGTCAGGTCAGTGTGAGGATGTGAGTGATGGGGATGGAACCTAGGGCATTGGGATGACTGAGCAGATACCCTGCTACTGAGCTGCTGCTTCAGCCCTGCTCTGGAACACCAGTTTGTGTGAATTTGCCATGGAGTCTCTTTGATAAAATATTAAACGTGGTAGATGCTATTCAGAAGACTTGTCATCTGCCAGCCTTTCCCTCTCTTTCTAATTGTGTTGTGACAGTTGAGGCCAGAGCAGTTGTGGAGCCCGGTGGCAGGAGAGGAGAGTTTCTTGGAAGGAGACTGTGTTGGTTCACAGTTGTTGGACTGTGAACATAGGTGTTCTCTCTGCTTCTCCCAGTCCTGATGCCAGACCTTGGTCACCTGTTTGTTGTGGACACAAGTAGTGTGCCATGTACTCTTGTGACTGCTGTTAGGAGTTCCTCCGATTGCTTGGGACTCTGATGTGCTCTGGATGACTTGGGAGGTCAGAGTTGAATGTGCTGCCACTGTCATTTTTGTCTCACGCACGTGGAGGGGAAACACGTCCTGTGTCTGCCTCCTTCATTGCCTGGAGTGTGGCTGAAGAGACTGAACACCACTGGCAGCCCCCAGGAGGGAAGAGAGGAAGAGCAGTTGTGTCCACCCGTGATGACAGCACAGGAGAGACCTGTCGCACTCCCTGCCTGCCAGGGGCATGAAGAGGAGCAGTTTGGCCCTGCCCTGGTGGGTCGTGGGCCTTAGGATGGTGTAGGCAGACCTGTGATTTATCTCTGATGGGGATTCCTAGAGATTGTCCTTACTCTTATTTTCTTTTTTTTCTGAGACAGGGTCTTGCTTTGTAGTTCAGGCTGATCTTGAACTCGTGGCAGTCCTCCTGCCTCAGCATCCCAGGTGCTGGGACTACAGGTGTGTGCCACTATGCTTGGCTTACTCCTTCTTTGTTCTGGCCTGACTTTGAGCGGTCCTGCTTGAGGAGGGATTGATGGTGACCACAGGGTGGCAAGCTTGCCAGCTTAAAACCACTGCTTTGAAGCAGGAGAGTGCTCACATGAGAGGGCATGGGGGACTGCGTGGTCCTCTCATGCCTGCCATGAACACTGTGGGAGCTGATGGGACTCTCAGAAAGTTTGAGGTTTTGGAATATTTTTATTTTTTGATGAGTAACATTCACCTGATGTTTCATACAGATACTTCAGCATCTGAAACAATATCCCAGATCTGAAACATTTCTGCTTCTAAGCATTTCCTGTTAAGGGGTACTTGTAGTATATGAAGTAGAAATACAGTTATGTTCTTTATTATTTGACCTTCAAGGGCAAGTAGTTATTACTCAAGAAACACTTTGCTGACTGAAATTTTCTGTCTTTAATGTGATAGACCTTTGTACTGCATTATAATCTTCAGCAGATTCCACAGTAGTCTGGTTAATATTATCCCCTAGTTCTTGCAGACTGATCAGGCCTGCAGTCTCCCAAATGAACGGATGGTGAAGGCTTAAATAAAAGAGTCAAGTGGTTTGAAATTTGGACTTCGGGAGGTTCAAAACTAACAACTTTTGAGGTTCTTTGGGGGCTAAGAAGAAATGTCTCTGAGTGGCCCATACTTTACTAGTTATCAGAACAAGGGCACAGAATACTGAAGAAAGGTGGGAGTCTGTCTTGAATGGCAGGACCTTGGGAGTCCCTACAAGGACTTCTCTAAGTAATCATTGTGGTTTTTTTTCGTTTTTTTTTTTTTTTTTTTTTGTTTTTCTTCTGGTACCAGGAATTGAACTCACGACCTTGCACTTGCCAGGCAGGCCCTTTGCCGCTGAGCTAAATCCCCAGCTGCCATTGTGTTAATTTAGGAGAACTGTGTTATCTGCAGGAAGGCCTTCACAGAAGTTACACTTTTTATCTAGCTAATTGAGGTTGGAGCCAGGTGTGCTTAGCTGTGGCCTTGTCTTGTCCTTTGAGGTGCCAGGGCTTCACCTGCCATTACAGGCTGCCACCTCCAGACAAGGGGCCTAGGCCTTGGGGGCAGACTTACAAGTAAACATGAAAAGCCAGTGGGTTAATATAAATCCTGCTCAGAGCCACTTCATAGTGGTCTCCATCTCACAGTGACTGATTTGTGGGTCGGACATGGCAGGGGTTGAAATTCTGGGTTTGCAAGTGGCCAAGGGGCCTGCCCTTCCCGAACCTTAGGCTTCAGTTCTAGGGTGCACAGGAGGAAGCAGGTATCAGTGATCTCTGTGTGAGAGCGTTGTGCTCTTAAATGATTAATGATTTCCTTGAGCGTTTCGTTGTAAAGAAGATATGGACTTACAGTTCAGCATGAATGAGTTGAGTTCTTGGAATTGTCCAGTGCCAGTCTCACTGAAGCTGCTCTCTGGCTGCTCAAACCTCACAGCAGGCACCTGCTTTTTCCATCCTTTTTTTTTTTTCCATCCATTTTTGTAGGTGTTCTAGGGGACTTCCATTTTCAGGCTGTAAGGATTTATACACAGGAAACGAAGGTGCTCAACAGCTTCTACGTGTGTGAAGTCACTGTGCAGCCCTCTGGTGGTATGTGTAGCGTGTGGCACGCAGGGATGGGGCTTAGCATCCAGATCACATACACAGCCCAGTTATGTTGTCCCTGTATTGTACCATGGTAGTTTCGGTCTTAAGTTTTGCTTTTTTTTTTTTTTTTGGTAGTGGGACTCAAACTCAGGACCTCACACTTGCCAGCCAGGTTCTGCACCACTGAGCTATATATCCTCAGCCCCAGTCTTAATTTTTCACATGATTTTTTTTCATTTTTCCTGATTTGGCTTTCAAAGAAATCGCTCAAAATCCATTTTAAGTAAGATAGCGAGGTACAGTAGCCTGTGCCCGTCATCCCAGATGCATGGGGAGGCTGAGGGACAGGGGGATGAGTTTGAGGCCATTCTGGGCAGCTAAACAAGGCGTCATCTAGAAAGAAGTCTGTTGTGTAAGATACTTTTGAGCTCCACTTTGCATTTTTCAGATACAAAGCTCTGTGTGGAATAAGTCTCCCTGCTGCCTCCTTTGAGGTCCACTCCTGTGGAGCTAAGCCACTCAGTATAAACGGGAGCAGCTCTCTCAGCAGAGGGAGAAGTGTGGTCTTCAGGCCATGCTCGGAAAGTGCCAGGCCACTGGCCATGCTTTAAATCCTCATAATGTGCAGCATATGCAGAGAAACCTTCAGCAGATTAAGTGAGCGTAGGCTAACCTGGAGTGGGGGGTCTCACTTGTCATTTGGGTTGCCAGCCTAGTGTCGTGTGCTCTCAGGAAAGGACTCAGAGCACTGCCTTTGGATCCCAGTGGTCAGGGTAGAAACTAGCCTCTGGGAGGATCAGTATAACAACATTTTATTTATATTTGCACTTCAGAAAGCCAAAATTGGTCCTGAAATCCATTATATTTGCACCTTGGCATTTTCCCTTCATGAAGGCGGCAATCTTGTTAGCCTTGGTGAATGGAGCATGGCGTGGAGAAACCCAGGGAAACAGACCTTGGAGGGTTGTAATTGTGAGCAGGGTGAAGCTTCTTTTCTGAGCTGGGATCTCAATTTAAGGTAGTGAGTCATTCATTTTACTCCCCAGGATTCAAGGAAGTGTCCAGTGAGGACTTGGAGCCTAGTGAAGATCTAGACCAGCCCTCTTTTGAGGAGACAGGAGAAGACATCCTGAGTGAAGAGAGCAGTGAGGTTTTGGATGTGATCTCCAGCGAGGAGCTGGATCTCTTTAGTGATGAGGAGCTGAGTGAAGGCTGTAGCTGGGGCCAAGGCGAGCTTCTCAGTGAGGAGCTGGGCCCCATATCTAGTGAGGAGGAAGCCAGCCCCTGGGATGCAGAGGACGAGCTCAGCGAGGAGTACGCGTCACTGCGGAGTGAGGAGGAGCTTTGTGAGGAGGAGCTCTGCGGGCTGGAGCCAGAGGTGCTGCTGGTTCAAGAATAAATTGTATGCTAGGTGTGGTGGCGCTCACCTGTAATCCCAGCACTTGGGAGGCTGAGGCAGGAGGATCACTGTGAATTCAAGGCCAACCTGAACTACTTAGTGAGACCCTGTCTCAAAAAAACTGGAACAAAGAAAAATCATAAATTGTAAAAGGATTGTCCCAGGCCTCTGTTTTATAAGGAGATTTAATTCATTTATAAAGTTTGTCTAGAAAAAAAACTTGGTTCTCTTGTCTCAGTGCCACTCTTGGTCAGATAACCTCAGCTGCTTTGGAGGTACGTAGAACTGGGTCCCTGAGGGAGCAGACTCACTACGTTTGTACATGGTCTCCCCTCTGTACATACCTGCATCCAAAACCCTCTTTACACAGGGGCAGCCAATGAGGAATACAGTTTTAGGGGCAGTGCTGGTGACTTTGTCTTAACTTGATTACGTGCAAAGACCAAATTCCTGAAGAAGACGGCCTTCACAAGCACCTAACCTTAGGATGCCAAGCCTCTTTTTGGAAGGACCACAGTTCCGCTGGTAACAACCCCTGACCCCTTTTGTTAAGATGAGTTGTAAAGTGGGAAATGTTAAGATGCAGAGATAGAGGTGGAGCAGATCTGTATGTCTAGCCTACAAGTGGGTGTGTGTCTGTGTCCTGCGTTGTCATCAGATGGTGTGTCTAGGCTTTGTGTTGATAGCCAGAGTCCTCCATCACTTCAGCGCAGTTCTATACACATCAACCACGGACATGTGAAGTTTGAAAGACGGCAAGGAGTAAGGCATAATACATGAGACGTAATATGTTAGACTGGCTTCCAGCTACAGTGGCTACAACAAAGACACTGTTCACATAGCTTTACAAAGCAGCCCAGTGATGAGCTGTTTGCACAGGGTGTCCCTGCTTGCACCCTCGCGCATGGGGTGGCAAGGGTGGTCTGGTCTCCCTGCTGAGCCATCCTGGGCAGATGCACCCTGGGCACAGGTGAGAGCTCCTGCTCTGAGGTCTGGGTAGGTTTTGTGTAGCCCTGGAGATGAGGAATGGTGCTGCTGCAGTGACTGCCAGCTGCTCTTCAGTACGCACATCCTGGCTTGTCCTGGAGGAGGGCAGGTCGTAGCCTCTTGGGGAGTTGTTCTGAGCACTGTGTTATCTGCCATGAGGCCCTGGACTGGCTGGCTATGCCTCCCAAGTACAGAATAAGGCTGTGTGTGCACTTTCTGAGGTCAGGCCTCCAGCCAGAGTTCTGTGGCACTTCCTGCTTAACCCCTGCCCCCAACAGGCAGGCAGTACCTTCCTTCTATAGTGTTTGGCTCATAGGCATTGATTTTTTTCTTTTTGGTATTTTTGAGACAGGGTTTCGCTCTGCAGTTTAGGCTGACCTTGAATTCACTTTGTAGCCCAGGCTTCCTGTGTGCTGGGATTACAGGTGTGCACTCCCACACTTGCCTGTGTTGAATATTCTTTGTGTGACAGCCAGTGTTCCCTGTGACGACTCACAGGTTGAGAGAGCTGCACCTAAACAAGCACACATAGGTGTCAGAAGGCTAGGAACAGTGGTTTAAAAGTGGAGCAGTCCATCCAGGGGAGGTGAACAGGTGTGGCACATGGTTCAAGGGAATAGGAAGTGGGGCAGAAGATGGGACCGTGGGAACAAAGAATTGTCATCTTAGAGTAGAAGCAGAATGGATGCCTGCACAAATCACTGCTGCCTTAGCAAGGTCCTCTGGGAAGAAGCGGGTCCTGTAGCTGCACAGATGTGCATTCTTCTTGTCACTAGGGTTCCTTTTCTAAAACCAGGCCTCATGGCATTTGAAGTAGAATAGTCTAGTCCAGAGTGGTGGTGTTTTTTTTTGTCTTGAGAGTTGAACTCAGGGCCTTGCTGCACTTGCCAGGCAGGCCCTGTGCCACTGAACTATATCCCCAGCATAGTCCAGCATATTTTGTATCCTTTGCTGTGGGTGGATTTTTCTAATTCTTGGAAGATACAGTACTTGCTGGACCCTAGTGTGGAAGTTGAAAGTAGTGGTGTGTTGATTTATTATGTATGATTCCTGCCCTGTAACTTGGTGCCAGGTTCTGTTCTGGGTGCTGATCCAAGGAGCAGAGAACCACCTAAGAGGCCTTGGCTGCAGGCTTGCTGCACAGTGGGGTTGATGACTGCTTTTCCTGTGTTCCTGTTTTTGTTTATTCCTTCCTAATGCATCACTACTTTGTTCTCAGTGTGTAGGCTCCTGTGTAGGACCCTGGAGTTGAATAAGTGTTTTCAGCTCCGCTCGGACATCGGGATTCCTTGGAGATAGCAGTGGGTTTGCCTGAGGGGGCAGCCTGTGGGGTTCTTTGTTCCCCTCTTGAGGGCCACTGGTGATACCAAGCAGAGTGCTTACCTGTGTTGGAAATACCTGGCATGCATTGTAGGTTTGGTGTTGGTTTGTTTTGTTGTCCTTTTCTGTCTCAGCTTTCCTATGTACTTGGGCTTTAATGACACGGGGCATGGAGAAGGAGCTAATCACTGCTGTCCTCTCATCCTAGAGGGTTCCGTACACAGTGTGAGCCTTAGCATTGACGTGCTTGCCTTTCTTCTTCGCTTGCATTGGCACTAGGTTAAAGCACATGGTGTCAGTCACTGTCTGTTCCTGTACGCTGTTAAAGATGTCCAGACTTCGCCACCCCTCACACATCCTCTATTTCTTTCCACAAGGTGATTTGTTTGTTGCACCCATGTCAGTGATGTTTTAAGTTCTTTCTTCACACGATCCATTGTACTTCTTTGGGTGTACGTTTGACATTGTTGCTTATCAGTTACTTTAGTAACTTGCTGTTACGGATTGGGTTTAGTGCTTTTCAGAGAATAATGGGTTTGACTAGAACATTGGAATAAAAGAGTTACGTGATGCTAGAGACATCTGTTTGAAGTAGTGCTTGTATGTCAGGATCCAGAGGTGAATCAATACTGGCTTGCCTGTAGATACTTGTGAAAGGGTCTGCATTGGTCAGAGTTCTCTAGAGAAACAGAACCAGGAAACGTGTCATTTATGATGTGGCTTAGACTCAACACGTAGGCAGTTGAGGAAGCGGTCAAGGAAGCTCAGTGCTGGTGTGCTCTGCAGTAATGGATATCTTTGGTGCTCTTCAGGTCTTCATGTAGATTTTTTTTTTTTCTGGTACAGGAAATCAAACTCACGACCTTGCACTTGCCAGGCAGGCGCTGTGCCGCTGAGCTAAATCCCCAGCCCCTTCATGTGGATTTAAATTTAGGTGATCAGTGTGCCTGGGACTACTGATTCAATTGTTACCTCTGAACCATGCTGGATGAAACTTGGGCATCTCATGGCCCAGGCAGGTCGACACGTGAAATTATTCATAGTCCTCTCCCTTCTGGCCCCAACTCTGTGCCTGCTTGGATGTATTTAACCCTTCCCCACTGGAGACCAGGTCCTTGAAGCCATAGTACCTTCTTCTCTGATGCCCCATTGCCTAGTGCTCCTCCCCTGTGAGGCAGAGGGAGGAAACACAGGCACTGCCTCACACAGGCACGTAGACCTCATGCACAAGTGCATGTAGAGCACGAAGGAAGGAGTGTGTACAGGCACACATCACAGGCTCTGCCGTAAATGAATGCCTTAAAAGGGTGGCCTTAACAGTAGAGTGTGGCCACCAAGTTGCAGAGTAGTTTTGGGCTTAGGCAACCGTAGCGGTTGTCTCATTCTCCCTCCGTACATCTCTGGCAGTGCTGGAGGGGTGGAGTGCGCCCATATGGTGCTCGCGCACACAGCCCTCTCGTGCAGTCTCGCCCAGTTCTTGGAGCCAGCGGCCTGCCAGCTCTTTACTCGTCACAGCTCTCCTTAAGCTGCGGTGCCTCCTGTCAGCTGGGGCTCCCTCTGTGCTCTCTGTGGCTGTTCCCTGGAGCATAGCCTTGTTGGACCTGGCGGACTCCTAAGCTTCACTGTCCTGAGCCAGGCTCTGCTGTGTGCATTCCCACCATCCTGTTCTGGCTTGACACATTATTCCCTCCTTGGCCACTGTCTGGTCCTCTGTCTTGGAGACATGCTGTGCTAATCCTTCTGTGTTCTAGATGGCCTCTCTTTCTTCTGCATGCACTTATGTCCTAATGCATCTTTAGGATTCCTTGGTGTTTCTCACAGATTCCTTGTTAAAACGATAGCACTTACTAATTCCAAAGAAAAGGGTAAATTTTAAAAGTAGTGTGTACATATAAGCAAATCTTACGTGTTCAGTGAAGTACTTGTTTGATAACCACAACAAAGAAATCTAAACTCTCAGTGCTCATTTTTTTTTTTTTTTTGGTTTTTTTTTCCGGTACTGGGAATCGAACTCACGACCTTGCGCTTGCCAGGCAGGCGCTGTGCCGCTGAGCTAAATCCTCAGCCCCTCAGTGCTCATTCTAAAATTGCAGTATTACTGTGTTTAATATGAACTATAAGTCAGTACTAGGAGCATTTTTAAATTTCCAGTAATAATGTGTGCTGTTAGCAATTTACTGTGAACATTTCTTAAAGCACATTAGGCCTACCACTTACCATTTGTTGTTCAGGTTTTTTTTTTGTACAGGGGATTGATCTCCTAACCTCAGGCTTGCCAGGCAAGCGCTTAAGCCTCTGAACTATATCCCTAGCTTGTTGTTCAGATTTCACTTTGACTAAATTTTTTTTTGAGACCTCAAACTTACAGGAACATAAAAGGGATTCTAGATGCTCTGGCTGGGTTCTGCAGCTGTTTTATTTTTCCGGCACACTCTTAGGTGTGCTAGAGTGACCCTGTATGTGTAGTTCAGCGTTGCTTTGTAGAGGTCATTTGGGCTTCCTGAAAAACAATCCCCTATATGTAAAAATCACTTTTTCCTCTGCTCTCAGGTCCACATCTACCATCTTGGGTCCATGTATATGTATAGTGCTTTCGTTTAACTATGGTCTGTTATGTATTGCAGCTTTAATTGAATTGAAGTAGTAAGTAGGCGTGTTGGATGAGGTAGATGGGTTGCTTATTCTACTTTACTATAGCTTCATGTTGGTAAGTTGTTTGTTCTTGTCTGAATGGTGTGTTGGAAACCATTAACCCATTTTTCCCTCTTCCATGGAAAAAGTAAATACAAATAAAGATTCTCACGCTGTGTGTTCCTATTTGTTTCTAGAAGACCCATTTGAAGACATTTTTGGGAACCGAAGGGGTCCTCGAGGAAGCAGAAGCCGTGGTACAAGCTCTTTTTTCTCTGCCTTCAGTGGATTTCCATCCTTTGGAGGTGGATTTTCTTCATTTGATACAGGTATGAGATCCCTAGAGATAATCTTTGTTGTCTGGACAGAAATCAGTATACTTAGAATATTCTATCACAGCAGCTTTAAGTATGTTCCTTTTGATACAGATGCTTTGTAGATGAATTAGCCTTTTTTAATGCATACCAGTCGGTTCTTAGTAACCTTCATTTCCCCTCTACTCTGTTCCAAGAATGTTATGCTTAGAAAGTCTCTAAATAATAAAGGACAACATTTAATGAAATTCTTGGTTGAAAAGGATAATGTGTGTTTTGGGTTAGTGGAAGATTACTCACTTGGACAGTCTCAATAAATCCTTCATATGATCTAACCTCCTTTACAGTTAAACAGAAAACAGAAGTAGTGTCATAGAAAGTGTCTAACCTGATAGGACTGGAAGACTGACTCACAGCCTGGGTACATGGCTGCAGCCAGACTGGCTCCTGAAGTATAGGCCACACCTAGTCTTTTTTGTTTGTTTGTTTTTGTTTTTGTTTTTTTGGTTTTGGTTTTTCTCCGGTACCGGGAATCGAACTCACGACCTTGCGCTTGCCAGGCAGGCGCTTTGCCGCTGAGCTAAATCCCCAGCCCCGGCCACACCTAGTCTTAGTGTGCAGATAGAAGTTGGCAAACTGGAGCCATTGTACACACCATGGCACGATGGTGTGGTAATGGAGAGGCAAATTGGGCCTGTCCCTTCCCGAGGACCCCTTCGTTCCTTTTTTTTTTTTTTTTTTGGTACTGGGAATCGAACTCAGGACCTTGTGCTTGCGAGGCAGGCGCTTATGCCACTGAGCTGTCTCCCTGGCTCCCCTTGTTCTTATGCAGAACTTGTACAGGTAAACTGTTGGCTGGATCAGACTGGAGTTTTTATTGTGCTTTTCCCATTAAGTGCTGACATTAGGTATCTTATGACGTGCTAAACACAAGTCAGGAGAGAATGCAAAGAAGTTGGCTAAAAATACCAAGAAAGTAGTATTTCATGTGGGGCATACATTTGGCTAGCTTGTGTGATACCTTTCCCTGCCAGGAGGAGCCCCACAAAGATTTTTAAAAATTGTGGTTTTTTTTTTTCTACTGTATAGTGAGGACATAAGAAAATTATAAATTACATAAATAGATGTGTGTGTATTTTCTCATGATAAGTTGCAGGATTCTTTGAGTAATTTTTTTGGAGGGTACCAGGAATCAAACTCAGGACCTCACTCTTGCCAGTCAAGTGCTATGTCACTGTGCTAAATCTCTGATTTTGAATTACAGGATTCTTTGTGGAATTATTTTTATTATTATTATTATTAATTATTTTTGTACTGGGAATTGAACTTAGGACCTTATGGTTGCCAGGCAGGCACTGTGCCACTGAGCTACATCCCCAGCCTGGGAAATTATCTACCCTTTTGGTGATTCTGGTCTCTGTCCCCTTGTTCCCTCCGCAGGCTGAGCCGTCAAGGCTTATGGTCCGTGGTGGAGACGTTGCTCTCTTCCTGTGGCACAGAGGTGCAGCTGCCCCTGCACCTTCCTGGGTACATGGTGTCAGAAGACACTGAGTCTCTGGAGGGCCTTGGGCTCGTGGGGTGTCTCTCAGGGCATCCAGTAGAGAGACGGGGGAGCAGCTGCCTGGTGTTGCCTGTGTCATGCCAGGATATGGTCAGTGGCTCTTGAGACAGCTGTTCCCCTTTCCCCAGGGTCCCACAGCTCTTCTGCTTAGACCTTGCCTTCCTGGGCTTTCGGAATCAGATAACTGGTGAACTGTTTCATTTGGAACTCTATGTATTGACTACCAGTCATCATTATTTTCTGTTTTCCTGTAGGATTTACTTCATTCGGGTCCCTAGGTCATGGGGGCCTCACTTCATTTTCATCCACGTCATTTGGCGGCAGTGGGATGGGTAACTTCAAATCTATATCAACTTCTACTAAAATCGTTAATGGTAGAAAAATCACCACAAAGAGGTATAGTGGCATTTGTCACATATTTTGTTTTTAATAAGTCATGCTGTGTTGTTGGTGCCACAATAGCCATGCACGTTCCCTGGAGTGGAAGTATTAAATTGTATGCCTAAACTCCAGATTAAATAGATAGAGGGGTGTGTGTGTGGGTGTGGGTGAGAGAGAGAGAGAAGGAGGGAGAGAGAGGGAGATAGGGGAAGAGAGAGGGGAGAGAGGGAGAGGGAGAGATAGACACACTGGGGATTGGACCTTTACCCTTGCTACACATTAGGGAAGCGCTCTGCCACTGAGCTGCATCCCCACTCATTTCTGTTTTTATTTTTTCTTGGGGGCGATATTGAGAATTGAACTCTAGACCTCATGCTTGGCAGGCTGGCCCTGTACCCCTAAGCTATATGCTCAGCCCACCCCGCTTTTTTTGTCTTTTTGAGATAGGGTCTTACTGTGCAGTTCAAACTGGCCCTGAGCCCAGGCTGGCCTTGAACTCACAGTGATCCTCCTGCCTCAGCTTCTGGGTGAGTGCTGGAATTACAGGTGTGCACTACCATGCCCAACTGTTTTTATTTTTTGAGGCATGGCCTTGCTAAATTGCTCTGGCTGGGCTCCAACTTGCCTCCCAAGTGGCTGAGATCATAGGCATGTGTCCTTGTGCTTGGCAAGCATTTCCTTTTTAAATACTTAATGTGAATTTATTAGAAATAATGGCTATGTTTAATATGTAACAACATGCAATAAGGTTCTGCCATATTGTTAGGAATGGTAAAATTTAAAATCATTAATAGTAAAACCATTATTTTTTAAATTCACAGCATAGGAAGCTGGGCTCGGTTGTCTCTAATCCCAGCACTCGGGAGGATGAGGCAGGAGGATCATTGCAAGTTCGAGGCCAGCCTGGGCTACAAAGTGAGCTCAAGGCCAGCCTGAACTGCATAGTGAGACCCTGTCTTAAAAAAAAAAAAAAAAAAAGTTTATAGCATAGGGCACCACACCTAGGGCCTTGTGTGTGTCCAGCAAGCACTGTGCCACTGAGCTGTGTTGCTGGCTCCAGCTATTTCTGATGAACGAATTATGTCTCCATATACTTTGCAGTCACTGAGACAAAACTTACTTTGTCAGAGTAAGTTGATTTTGAGAACGATTTTGGTAATAGGTTGGTTTTTGTCGTTTTTTAGCGCCTGTGTATTTTAAAATACTCCCATGTATTTTTATGTGTATCTATTTATGTAAATATTCTCACATTTAAATAAATGTTTACGTTATAAAAGTGGTTTCTGAACAACTTCTATCCTGCAGAATTGTCGAGAATGGTCAAGAGAGAGTAGAAGTTGAAGAAGATGGACAGTTAAAGTCCTTAACGATAAATGGTAAGGAGCAGCTGCTACGCTTGGATAACAAGTAACTCGACGCACGCATTTAACAGAAATGTTAAAGTATAACAAGCACCATTTGAGGATTAACAGGAACATTTTTTTGAAGATTTCAGACGAACTCAACTTTCAGTATAACTGTACCTAATCTAAAGTATTTATAAACAGCTCATCGGAGCCCCTCTTTGTCATAGACTTTTGAGTTTATTGTTGGGACCACACAGTAGGACCATTTTTTGTCTTTAAAATTGTTGTAATCTCTGTATGCACTTTGCTTTTTTATTAAACGTGATCCAAGGTAAGCCTTGACTCTTGAGTAGTGCTAGGACAAGATTGTACTCTTAACACCAGCATGGATCTGCTTTTCATTGTGTTTGAAATGTGAGCCAAGTAGTGTCCGCCTGCTGTGAAGCTAACATTGCCAGGATGAGTTCTCCACAGAAATAATTTCCATTTTTTTCAGTATTTAGTAATGGAAGATATTAATGCATTAATGGTAATACATTTCTGGTTCAGTACAAATTTAAGGATGTTTTCTAGTTGTGCATGGATGCTGGCAACTTAGTAAAGTTTTGACGATTATTTAAATGTGTAATGTTAAGCTTAGGTTTATAAAAGCTGGTAAACTGGGTCTTTGTCATTTGCTTTAAAAAAAGAAAAGAAAATAAATGTGAATGTGTTTGGTGCATTCTTTCTGGAGTGGGGTCTGCAGTCTCCTTGTGTCTGTGTGTTTTGTGCCTGAGCTTGTGGGGTCCCTTCACCAGTGCTTTGTTTATCATTCAGGCAGGTGCTGGATGTGAGTTCTGTGGAGAGCACGTGAAGACTTGCCTATTTGCAAATGATTTAGCAGTTGTTTTCAGCAGTTTAGTTTATTTATTTACTTATTTTTTTTGAGACAGGGCCTCGCTATGCAGTTCAGGCTGGTCTTGAGCTCAGTTTGTAGCCCAGGCTGGTCTTGAACTTGCAGCAATCCCTCCTGCCTCAGCCTCCCACGTGTGCCACTACACCCAGTCTGTTTTAAACGTTTAGAATGATAACATTTCTGTGGGGAAGGGTTGAAACAGTTGTGAAAATTTTCATTCTTAAAAGTTTTGTTTTAGTTTTCTTGAATGATATATTTGATGTAAGATCATGTAAGGACAATATGCATGGTAAAAGACATAGAATGATTAAGAAGTTAGTAAAAATAAAGATGTTTGTGTTTTGATCTCTAAAATTTTTCACGATCTTTTCATGATGACCACTGGCAACTAGGATTCCAGCTGGATTTTACAGAATATTAAAGTGGGTGTTAATTACATTTATGAGTTCCCTTTGTCCACCCTGTTCCCTCAGCCCTGTTTTGGAAATACGCAGGATATGGCTCTTCCTGACTACTGTCCAGGTGGGTGCGGTGGGAATTTCTCATGGTACTGTTATGGTGTACTGCTTCTGAAAGCAAGGGGAAGGCATTTAAAAAAACCTTATAGGCTCTTGAAAAACAAGGCAGCAAAAATTAACTGAGGTAGCTGAAACAATTTGAATACAGACAGCAGTAAATGGGGATTTGAAAGTGTTGCATTAGGAGTCCAGTGTGACGCTGCCCTTGGATAAGGTGGGTATTAGGTATGTGGCCACATGGCACGTGAAGGCTGTGGGCGTTCGCCTCACGATGAGAGCGTCAGCACCAAAAAGCCCGTGTTGTGTGTGTTGGCATAGTATTTGCCTTGTCATTTCTGAATGAGCTCCTCAGAGAGAGAACAGAAGTGTTCATGGATTTGGAGGTTGGTATTTTTCATGAGTGGACCAGGTGAGCCATTTGTTAGAGAAGTCTTGTGTTGTCACCTGAAGAGACAGAAGGATGACAAGTGTTTTGCCATAGCTTTGGTTCTGCACAGCTTTGGGTTTTTTTTTTGTTGTTGTTGGTTTTTTATTTTTATCTTTTGTTTTTTAAATTTTAGAGACAGGGTCTCCCTATGCAGTTCAGGCTGACCTTGAGCTCACTTTGTAGCCTAGGCTGGTCTCAAACTTGCAGTGATCCTCCTGCCTCAGCCTGTCAAGTGTTGGGATTAAAGATGTACACCACTACCCACAGCTTTTTTTTTTTGGTTTTTGTTTTTTTTTTGGCGGGGGAAGTCATGAGGACTTAGAGCTTGCCAGGCAGGTGCTTGTACCACTGAGCTGTATCCCTGGTCCTCTTTTTGGTCTTTTTGAGACAGGGTTTCACTGTGCAGTTCAGACTGCCTTGCACTCTGGCCTCAAACTCAAAGTGATCCTCCTCCTTCAGCCTCCCAAGTGCAGGGATTACAGGTCTGTGCCACTTTGCCCGGTTGCACAGTTCCTTGAACACTCTGGGCTGGGTGCTGCAGGCTTAAGTGTTGGGTGAAGCTCCAGCAGTAAGCAGCAGGCTGGGTGTTAGAGCAGAAGGCGCTGGGTCGTCAGGCGAGCACACAGATGGGTGCTTACCATTGTGTTGTCTTCGTTGATGGAATGTTACCAAGTTTTTGACAGAGTACACAACTTGTTGTCAGGTGTGTTTTCTTGGATTTCTGATCACATTTGCAGAGCCTTGAGTCTAGCATGTGAAAGCAGCGTGGGAGAGACATGGCCCTGCTTTGTGTGGGGAAGAAAGCGCTGGGAGAGACATGGCCCTGCTTTGTGTGGGGAAGAAAGCGCTGTGACTGGGAAGTGCGTCTAATTGCAGCGTGGGCAAGTTGACAGAGCCTTTGCTGTCTGTGTTTCTAAAGGTCTCTTTGTAGACTGATCAGAAACAGGAAGCTGGAAGCTGCTTGTGCCTGGGTATGCTTTACCCACTCGTGCTGAAGACCGACCCAGCCCATAGCTCTGGCTGGGAGCTGCTTTTACAGGTTCATGCTTTGTTCCAGCATCCGTGCAAGAGGCCTGGGCTCGAGGACTGCGTGGATGCCTGCTGTGTTGTCTCATCTCTGCTTGGTTTTCTTCTTCCTTGTCGTTTCTCCCGGTGGGTTTTATTCATTTCACTGATGTTTGTTATTCCCTGTGTTTCCTTACAAAATGTAAAGCAAAGATTCCCAAGGTTCCAGGTTTCATTTTGAAAGCTCAGTAGTAGCTGTTCTAATACAAAGGATGGAAACTCTGGCATCAACTGCGTTTTACCTTCCTCTGGGGAGTACTTCAAAGGGCAGATTGCAGAAATTTGTAGGGTTAGCTTGAAGTAAAAATGCTTCGTTGGTGGTAACGTTTAAAGAACATTGTGGATAATCATCTTTGCAGCAGTTTTAATTTCTATCTATTGTTTATAAAAGCTTTAAAATTCTGCTTATTTTGTCCTGATTGCCTACTAGCTGTCATTAACCTTTCCAGGGAATACAGGAACACTGATCTGGTCTTCCTTGTCATGTGTTATTTTACCCCCGTTTCTGGGGGGTTGAACTGAGCCTTTGCACTGAGGTGCATCCTGACTGCTGCACTGGGCTCCCCAGTCCCCACATTTTTAAAATTTAGAGATAGTGTCTTCCTAAATTGCCCCAGTTGTGCTTAAACTCGTGATCCTCCAGCCTCAGCCTCTGAAAGTACTGGAATTATAGGTGCAGGCCACTATTCCTAGCTTGTTTTTTTAAAGTACTGTATAAGAACTATTTTTAGAGGGTCTAGCATCGATTTGTATCGGGTTAAAAGCCCTTAGTTATTGTGGGCTGATCAGGCCTCTAATCTCCCAAAAAAGTTGATGGTGAAGGCTTAAATAAATGAGACAATTGAAATGATTGTAGGGCTCCAGGAGGGTCTAACTGTTTTACAGAATTCGAGATTCTCTGCATTTAGAAAGAGACTTTTCTGGGCTGCCAGTATTTATTAGGTTTTCAGATAAAGAAGGAGGATACTCAAGAAAACACAGGGATCTAGCAGGATTTTGGGAAATAGTTTCCCAAGTAATAAATCATGTCAGTCAGGAGAACTACCTTATCTTTAGGCTGGCATTTAGGCCTGCAGCTGCAGTCTCCTTTTAAGTTAATTGGGCTTGGAGCCAAACATCCTCAGCTGTGGTCTTATCTTGTCCTTTGAGGCGTCACTTCACAGGCCTCAGCGATGACCAGTGACTCATAGTGGTTTACGTACTATGAGTCTGATGCTCATCTCCAGACAAGGTACCTAAGCTTCGGATGAGTCACAAATAAACATACAAAACCAATTGGTTAATATTACATTCTACTCAGAGCCGCTTCGTGGTGGTTTCCAACAAATTCATACTTCATTCTTGCTGTTTTTGCTCTTGCTTGTCAGTAGTGAAGAGGTTAGCTAGTAGCTCTCGTGCTCAGGTGTAAGATAGAGGAAGGCGTAACCATTTCTGGAGGTTTTCAGGCACAGCCTGCGTTCAGTCAGTTCAGACACTTGGTAGTGTGTGGTGAAGAGGAAGTTGTATCACCCAGTTTTATAGCCATGAGATTCTGCTATCCTTTGAAACCTTTAAAAGGGGCGAGTACGTGTGTGTTAGGTAATGTTACCATGTCACATGATGCATACAAATACTGTCCTATATTTGCTTGAATTACAACTATTCCTCCTCCCTGTTTCTTGACCCCTTAGAGTCAGACTGGTTTCGCTTTTTCCTTTTGGACACTGAAGAGCCAGCTTTGAGGGTCGGTGGATGACTTTTGTTGTTTTTGTTGCTGGGGTGGAACCCAGGCTTCCCCTTGGTAGGCAGGTGCACCTGCACTGAGCTACATCTGCAGTATGACTTCGCGTTTTCATTACTTCCTGGTTCACGGCTGTTGAGTGTGCTGTTCTTAGCTTTGCTGAGGACTTGGGTGATGAGTTATAGAGCTCAGTGGTACAGTCTGAGCCACAGTTGGTTTTCAAAGGTAAAACAAGGGGACGTTGTACCACCTCGTGGTTTCTTAAAAATCGACAGCCCGTAGGTTCAAGAGACTAGAGTCAGCTGCATTTTTGGAGTCTTTTTTTTTGAGGGGGGATCTTTTTTGAGGACAGGGTATTGCCATGCAGTTCAGACTGGCCTTGAGCTCACTTTGTAGCCCAGGCTG